GTAAATTATGTTTTTAAATTGTTGAACATTAAAATGATCAGAAACAATTTTCAGTTGTAAAGTTCCATTTTTCCTCATTATTTTCAAAGACTAATAAGGCCATCACCTTTAGTACTTCAAGAGTAGGTAATAAATAAAATAATATGAAAATATGAAAAAACTTGAAATCTTATTTTCTTTTTTATTCCCAAAAAGTTGAAATTTTGTATTGGGACACTTTCATCGTAAAGGTGCAACCTGAAGGTCGGTAAACGTCAAGAAATTAGTTTTGATCGTTGACCACGAATTAATTATTGTAATTTTAATTTAATTTAATTTTTTTTTATGATTGATTTAGTGTCTGTTTAAGTATATCTAAATGTTTTAAAATGAATGTTGAGCACAGTAATAATTGGGCACAGATATGCCTGTTGTATTAATTTTTAAGTGTTTTTATTTTCCTCACTTTCTGTATCTGATGTCTGTACATTGTGCCATAAATAAAAAATAAAAAATAAAAATAAAATAAAAATTCATCACTTGCTTGGAAATGAAAATATCGTGAGAAAACTTGGATTTCGGAGATAATTGCCGTAATTTTCAAAGATGCGAGAATGTCAAGTTTCCAACCAGTACTTACTATGCAAGTGCAGTGGACTAAACCTTGTGCAAATAATAGTACTTTACTAACTTACATACGTCTATTGCTGAGCGCACGTTTCTAACAACAGGCTTACGCTTAATTTGACTTATCTACACACGACAACTTTCTGGGTATGGGTTTATTACATGGTGAAATTGAAATAATTAATATCCGTTGAACCTATTAAGGTTCTTACTTCCTAATAATATCTACTCATCTAAAGAAATATTTTAGAATAGTTTAAATTAGCAATAGTGTAAAACCATAAAAAATCTTACCTAAATAAACAAAGTATCAAGATTAGTCGCCTTGCGTACGCGATACGTAATCGTAGCGAAGTCGCAAGCCTTTGGCGGCAAAAATATCACCTTTGATTTTCGCCGCCAGCATTTGATTTTATACATGGTGATGTGG